ATAAATGAGACACATAAGCTCAAATACAGGATGGTTTCTTTCATTTCAGTGATCCAGAGTACAAATAAAGAGCAAGATAAAAGATTGATAGAATGAAGTAGAAAGATAGATCTTCTGCAAATAGGAAGGGGACCAAGGATAGGGGAAGGAGGGAGGGGAAAGGGATATAAAAAGATTTAAGAAGTGTCACGGTACGGTACATATACTAAGTACCCACAATGAACGTACTCATTATATGTCACAAACATGAACTTAAAAAACTTATAACAATAATAATGAAAACGGGGAAGGGGGATCTAGACATGGAGGGAGGGAGATAGATGGGGAGGAGAAGGGGAATAAAAAGAATCAAGATATGTTAAATACATATACCTACTCCGTAAGGTTAATATAAACATGCACTGCAAACATGTACATGTAAAAATAACTGAAAATATAAAAAAACAAGCTCTGATTTGTCAGATAGATACATATCTTTTCTCTGGCGAAATAGGACTTTTTTGCATTAAGCTAAGAAGACACAGATAATGCCAAGTGATGGGTCCCACATTACTTTTAAGGCTGTTGGGAGGTGACAAGTCATTTGGAGAAGAGCCCATTCCAGAAAATGAGGCAGGCCAAAAAGGGAAGGACTTGGCAAGGGTTCTGAAATGTATGCTCCAAACGTGGCCCTTCCCAGCATGGCAGGGTGGCTAAGTGAGTTTGCTTTGACTGGCTCTGAACCAAACAGCACTTCAAACATGGCCCTTTACCTGGCCAGGCTACTCCGCATGTTTTGAAAGTGGGGGTTAGCAAACAGGCAGGAGAACTTAGGGTATAAGAAGACTTTGTTTCAGGGGGCCAGGGATTTGGCTCAGTGGTTTCGCCACCACTGCACAGGCACAAGGACCCGAGTTCGATCCCCGGTACCAAAAAAAAAAAAAAAAAAGACTCTGTTTCAAAACCATAGGGAAAAAGTGGGTTATTTAATAAACAGTTTTGGAACAAGCACATAACTAGTAGGGTTGGGGGAAGGAAGAGTTGAATTCTAATTTCACTCTTCATGCAAAAATAAATTGCAGATGGAAGAAAAATTGGAGCATTAAAAGAAAAAAAGGGAAACTCAAGTATACACAACTCATTTAAGAAAAATTTTAAGATGAGTGCTTCATAAACACTGAAGCCATATCTGAAGAAAAATATGACTATATAAAAAGGTTTGAAAAGTCCTACAGAGAATAAAACTATAAAAAGCAGGAAGAAATGAGAAACTGGGGGAGAATATTTGCAACACACAGGAGCTGTGATTGCCCTTTGATGCAGAATTCTTGACAATCTTAGGAAAGGCCTCCAGCTAATAAGAGTAATAGGCAAAAAGTGGGACTAGGCCACTCGTGGAAATTCACAATACCAGAAGGAGCATTTTCCCTTCCCCACGGCAACCTAAGTTCACAGGACGATGCATCAGGTCACTTACCTAGCCTGACAAGCAAAACAGTCTGCTAATCCACAGTGTGAGCATCCATACTTGATGGACTGTCACCTTGTCTATTCTTTTTGAGGGACTAGCTTTTGGCACTGTCTATCAAAACTAAACCAGCTTGTGCCTCTGATTTGGCAATTCCACTTCTAGGCACGTGTCCCACTTGTACATTTGTGCAAAATGGCAAGGCAGTATATCACCATGGGATTGTATGAACTGTAGTACTTACAAGTGCACAACAGGGGACTAATCGTAGGAATTACAATCTCTGCATACACGGGAGTGTTACTCAGCGTAAAAAGCATTCAGGCACACCTGCTACACATCCATGGAATTATCACTAAAATATAGCAAACAGGGTTTTTAAAAAGTGCAAGAAAGCAATGTGCATAGCACATTACCACTTAGGTGTAAGAAATAGGGGGATATGTGTTTGACTAACATCATTCTGACACTGGAAAGAATAGCAGTGCTTAAAAAAGCAAAGAGCTGAGTCACTGTTTGCACTATTTCAATTTTTGCTAAGAACATGCAAGATATTTTTTGTCATATGTATAAAAACAGGGTTGGGAAAGGAAAGGAAAAGGCTGTATGGGTCTGCGGAATCTATTTGGGCTTATTAGCTACCGAAGTTGCATCTGCTGGTTAAAAAAAAGAAATAACAGACACGAAGGCCTCTCATTGTATGATCAACTAATGTGAAAAGTTCCGAAAACACAGTTCCATCGCGACAGAAGGGAGATGAGTGGGGAGAGGGGATTGGGGGTAGGGGGCATGGGGGGCAACTGCTAATGGGAACAGGGTCTCCTCTTGGTGCAATAACAATGCTCTGGGTTAGTGGTGACGGTTCACAAGTCTGTGACCACCGAACTGTACACTTTAAGTGGGTGAAGTGGAGGTATTTGAACTGCAATCCAATAAAGCTGTTATTACAAACCAAGGACATCATACACTCCTAGAGCCCCTAGTCTATTTCTTCACCTCAAGCCAGGAGATTTGTTCTGTTTGAATGCAGATTCTACCACATGACAGAAGTAAGTTTCCATGTCAACCACAAGCATTTCCAGCAGAAACCAGTCTGCGAAACTGACACGTTCTTAAGCAGCCGACAACATGGCATGAATTAACCTTGATGTGCTGGCCAAGGGCATTCCTGTGCCCATCCCACACCGGAAAGGGTCCTCTCAAGTGGTGCTGCTTTCCATCCGATTGCTGCTCGAATGGGGGCTCTTTGCAAGCTAACTGTTACTGTCTTTCATACACTTGTGTCTCCTTCCTGTCCATGGCCACTTCCTGCAGCTGGCAGAGGCCCGTCACCAGCTGCATGGCCCACTTTTTCCTCCTCTTCTGTGCTGGAAACCTAAGCAGCCATTGGAGGGCAGCTGAGATCAGAAGGAACGGGCTCTTCTGAGAATCTGGGCCTACACTGCACTGCAGAGCGTTATGACTGCCTGCTTTCTGGGCCACTCCTAAGCTTTTAAGTGTGACTGCATGGCCCTTACTGGGTTGCAGATGGATGAGGGTTCCAAACCAGGGGCAGGCTTGGTTTTGATTGTTTCGTTTTGCAGTGCTGGGGATGGAACTCAGGGCTCCCTGCATGCTAGGTGAGCAAGCGCTTTTCCACTGAGCTGCACCCCCAGGCCCTGCATTTAACAGTCGCCTGAAGCTTCAGGGTCCCCGTGACTTCTCAGCATTATTAGCACACACTAACCAGCCTCTGCTTTCACACTGGGCTGGTGGGCAGAAGTCTCGCCTACTACTCCCTTCCCCACTGTGGCCCCTACCTGGACAGTACAACTCCCGGTCACTTTTTTCTTTGCAGATTCTACATGTTTTTTCTTCCCAGACTGCAGCTGCCAAGGTTCCTGAGTCAGCAGCCTGAGCTTGCAGTGAACACTATGTATCAGATCAGCTTTCTTTCATTCTTCTGTCTTGATTCTGAACACCCTGTGCCTGACTGGCTCACTAACTCCGAGTCCTCTGCAAAGCTGATTAGACTTGCTTCTCGGGACCACTTTCGCACGCCACTGCACAGCTCATCACTGCGGGCCTCTCCGTAGCACGTGCCCCCACCGCCCTTTCTCTTTCTCTCTTTTTTGTGATACTGGAGATTGAACCCAGGGCCTTCACACTGAGCTGCATTCCCAATCCCCTTTAAAAATGTTTTACTTTCAAACAACTCATTAAATTGCCCAGGCAGAACTCAAACTTGGAATCTTCTGCCTCAGTCTCCCAGAGTGCTGGGATTATAGGCGTGGACCACCACGCCTGGCTGGCTTCCATCTCTTCTCTCTCTTTAGTCTTCTTTGAAACTTGCTCTTTCGACAGTCTAGTCATTGTTCTAGCGCCCCAAGGGGTCCTGCTGTCAGCACACCCTGGGGCCCGGCAGACTGTATCCTCTTGGATTGCTGACTTGGGACCATCACACACTGGGTCACATAAGCAGGGAGAGCTCACTAAGCAACTAGGTTGTGGAAGTCTCTCTCTGCAAGCGGCTCTGCGGCTGAGGGGGTCACCAATTCTCACGCTAGGGATTCCTATCCCCATACATTCCACTGTACATCTGCCCATGGCCCAGGCTCAGGATCTGACTTCTCATGGGTCACTATTTTCTCCCCTGTCCAAAGACCTCGACTGCTAGCTGGAGGTCTGGCTTTCAGCTCCCTTCTTTACGGATGCTCTTGTGTAGGTGTTCAAAACCACCAGTCTCTTCTTAGATCCCATACCTCACGCCCCAGGCCACCAGAACACAGCTTTCAGCCCTTTCTTTATGTCTTGGCTTCAGATATTTCTGTTTCTTAGAGTTCTATACATAGAAATTTCTTGTGTAAAATTTCATTCCTTTTTGGTGATCATTTCCGAGTGTTTGGAATAGGAAGAACTAGCTCAACTGTGTTGTGAATTAAAAGCCTTATTTTCCAAGTATTATTACATTTAGCCAGGCATAGCAGCACAGGCCTGTAAATCCCAGCACTCAGGAAGCTGAGGCAGGAAGATCTCTGTGAGTTCGAGGCCAGTCTGGACCACATGTAAGTTCAAGGTGAGCTTGAAAAACCCTGTCTCAAAAAAAAAAAAAAAGTAAAACAAAAACCCAAACAAACAACAAAAAATTTCATTACTTTTATAATCAGAAAATAACTTTTAAAAATCTATTTTTTGCTGAAAACAAATATATAGATTGTGTGTGTGTGTGTGTGTGTGTGTGTGTTTACTTTCATGAATTACGAAATGGCAACAAAGATGGGGGGTTTCTGCTTTGGCAGTGAGGCCTGTGGTCTACTTACTTGCTCATTTGCAAAATAAAATGTTAAGTAATTTGAAACATGCTTCCCAGGGCTGGAGGTACAGCTCAGGGGAGGAGTGCTTGCCTAGCACGTGTGAAGCTCTGGGTTCCATCACTAGCACTGCTAATAATAATAATAATAATAATAATAATAATAATAATAAAACCTACTTTCTTATCTAATGCATGGAGAAATGCAGACAGGAAAAAACAATTGATAATGAGAGAAATTTCCACAAGCAGCCTGCATGGTACCTTTTGGCTCCTCCTGCGTCAGGTGAAACAATGATACAGTTCTTCCATTCGCTGATGTTCTCTCGAATCCACTGCAGAACGGCGGGCTCTGCATACAAGTTATCCACCGGAATATCAAAGAATCCCTACAAAACAAGTGAGTGTTACACTGCAGAGTTTGTTTCTTTGAAAAGATGATTGCTTTCATTAAATAACATTTTAATTTTGTATTCAAAAGAAATCTTCCAACAGACTCTCCTTTGTTAATTTTAACAAAATCAAAAGGCAGATATTTCAAGCCAGGCACCTTCCAAATGTATTCAATTGCTTGGGATGGCCTTTTGCAAGGAGGCAAAGGGCCATTCATTTATTTATTTTTAGTTTTTTTGAGACAGAGTCTCACTATGTAATTCAGGCTGGCCTTGAACTCACTAGGTAGCCCAGGCTGGCTTCAAACTCACAGAGATCCTCCTGCCTCAGCTTCTCTCAGCTAAGATTACAGACATGGGCCACTACACAATGCAGGGCTGTTGTTTTTAGCTCCCAAACCAAATACTTTACGTTCATTATATATCATAAAGCAGGTGCTGTATAATTTGGCCTGTTTTAGAGGTGAAGGAACTAAGTTATGAAGAGGTTAACAAATGTATGTTACAACTCTGTCATTCCAGTGGCTTTCCAGAAGTTGAGATGGAATTACACCATGTATACTTCCAAAAACCTGTTTCACCCCTCCAAAACTGGTAAGAGGCAAGCAGTGACAGAGATAAGATGTATCAACATTGAGTTATTATTACAAAAAAAACCTCCAAGTGAGGAGCCATACACAAACTCAAACACAAGGAATGCTACCTCCTTCTGAAACTATTTACAATAATACCTTGGTTCTCAGGTTCACAAACCCTTCTGTTTGTGAACAATTCAGTTTGTAAGCTGAAGCATTTAGCAAAATTTTGCTTCTGTTGGTGAACTCCACATCAGGTGATGGACATGGCCTCGGTTGTCTTCTCTGCATGAACATGACTGCAGCCTTCTTCCCCAGAATCATGGAATGAATCAAGTTCATGAAGTGAGGCACTACTGTAATTTAACAGAGTCAGGACCTAACCACTGGCAGGGAGAAAATGCTGGTACCTGTATCTGAGAGGCATGCAGGTCCATGGTGATGATGTGATCGGCCCCTGCCACCGAGAGCATGTTGGCCACAAGTTTGGCAGAAATCGGAGCACGGCTCTAAAAAAACAAAGACATGGACTTGACAGCAGGAAAAGATAGATGCTGTTAGATTCCTCCTGCTAAGCAATAGCTGAGAAAGCTACAGCACAGATGGTATCAACAAAGTGTAATAAGGAAAATGACACATGTTGTGACAACAAAAGATATATTCATTCTATTTTGTTCAGCAAATACTGACTGTTTCCATATACTGTTGTGAAGCAATGTGCTCCATACTGGGTATAGAGAACAAATGTCAGAGAAGCTCACAGTTAAATGTAGATACTGCTACACATAGAATGTCACAATTTGCATAATTCAGGCTGGGATAAATGCCTAGAGGTAAAATAAAAGGTATAGAAAAGAGAGATAACAGCAGGAAGGACACAGAGTTTAAGCAGGATGGTTGTTAGAAGCCTCGTTGAGATCACTTTCAAGGCAAGCCAGCAAAGGCTGGAGAAAAACATTTTAGGACAGCAGTACATGGGACATGACCAAAGCCAGGAGACCCTTGTGCAGCTAGCAATGGCATGCAGTTCAGCTGTTAGAGATGCTTTCCTGTACAGACAGCTGGAAGCCACCCTTGTTACAAATTAAACCAAAACCAGGGAGAAGAAAGAACATTTTATGGTGACAGATAATTTAGTAGTTAGAGAAAGAGATGCACTGTCATTTACTGATATTATGTTCTTTTCAATGTTTCCTAACTTCTTTATAGCTTTAGTTCCCACGTTACAAATTATGGACAATAAAACTCAACATCAAAAAATCCAGGAAACTATACTGACATGATTAGACTATATGGACAGGATCTAGGAAGAATTCAGCAACTGTCTATGAACAACATTATTGCTACACAAGTACTCAAGAAAATATAAGCTTAAAGAAAGATGGCATTCAAAATAATGACAAATAAATGATCCCATTTAACACACTCACACACAGTGTATCATATGCAATATATTCACGTACACTTAGCAAAGAATTATATCAAAATGTTATCAGATTATTGTCATATTTTCCGACACATCATTGCATTTCTTAAAAAATATCTTATAATAAAAATCTGCATATATATATATATATATATATATATATATATAGAAAAAAATGAGAGAAAACACCCCAAAATGTTAACAGCAATTGTTTCTAGAAAATGAGACTATGGATCAGTATCTTTCTTTTTGTTTTCCTTTTTAAAAAAAACTTCTTCAATCATCTTTATGAAGTATATATCTTTAACTTATGTTTTGACTGTTTAATTCCCCCATACCACATATTCACACGGAATAAACCTGATTTTCTCAGCTTTCAAACTAAAGCTCTCTGGCCAATGTGGCTGCAGTCTACTGAGAACTGTCCCTGCCCGGCATCTGCGCTGCGCCCCTCCCCACAGTGTGGACCGGGTCTGGCTGACTCCTCTAGAGAGCAGAATGGCCTTGCCTGTATACCCACATGGCACCTGCTCCCTATCCTACCCATCTCTGCTGGCCCAATGTGTTTAGTCCTCCCAGACTGGCTCCAGTCTCCCAATTGTAAGGCACACCAAGGACTCCAGACATCATCCCTCCTTTCAGAAGTGACATAGCATCACTTAAGCATTTGGCTCCTACCATTTGGGCCCTCTTTGTGATGCCTGCTGAAGAAAGGAACATCATTGTTCCTGAGGGCAAACAATTGTTTTTGAACATCTCATCTTTTGCTTCACATAGCTCATGCCCTGCACATAATAATTTCCAGTAAATATTTCATAGTAGAATCTCTGTAGTATCAAATTTCCAAGGCTTAGTCATTAGCCTCACTGATAGTAAGCATTCTTTCATCTAAGAAAGTTCCAGGTCAATTGAAAGAACAAACTGGTCACTGACTTCTTTGTAATAAAATCTGATTCACAATGTTAATCAACTATGTGCTCTTCCTAGAATTTGATAAGTGGTTGTTAGGTTTGAATGTACCTCCTCCCAAATTCAGAAGTTGGTAATGTGATTGAATTAAGCAGTGTGGTCTTGCAGAGGTGACGAGGCTGGGAGAGCTCTTCCCTAGTTAATGGAAGGGAGGCCCTTGGCAGAGAGGCTGTGAACTCCATTGTGCATGTCCTCCTTCCACCTTCTCCCACGGAAGGACACAGTGTTCCTCTCTAGATACCACACACCGGTGCCTCGGCCTTGGACCTCCAGATTCCAGAACCATGAGAAAAAAAATTTCTGTTCTTCACAAATTACCCAGTCTCAGATAATCTGCAATAGCAGCACAAACAGACTAACACACCAGCAAAAAGACTCCCCTCTTTCCACAGTGGCACGAAGCATTTCTTAGTGCTGGGCTCTAAATGACAGAGGTAATTTCTGAATACAGATGTTTTGATTTCCTTCTTCAGACTTTGTTTACAAATTTGGTTTTGGTACTAAGTCTCACAGCTTGGCTGGGCACCCAACTGAACCCTATAGGAAGAGTGACTTACAAGACAACTTATAGTCTAGACAGAGACAAAGTAGTACAGCATTTAAACAAAGGTAGAGTCAAGTCTTAGTAGCTGAAATAAAACTTTCGACTTCTCTAATGAAAAATACATGAAGGTCAAAGTTTTGCAAGTCAGCCCAATAATGACAAAGACTTTCTCAGGATATTCCAGATCACATTCAATGTATCAAACAACACAGTGCCAGAAAAGTAACTTTGACAAGCTTTTGCAAAACTACACGATTACAGAGATTCACATCAGTTAAAAACTAAAAGGAAACAATATTTTATCATTTGAACAAGAACACGACCTTCAAAATGATTTTGGAAAACAGAAAACAAACAAAAAACAAGCTGAAAGTCCTTTGTCACCCTCTCACCCCCAGAAGTAACTATTCCCTGTCTTGCCCACAACCTACTGTTTTCACCAGATAAGAGAACAAGCAATTATTGACTTGTGCTATGGCAGAAGCCAGCAAACTACAGCCCAAGGCCAAACCTGCCTGTGGCCTGTTTTTGCCCAGCCTAAGGTCTCAGGGTGGTTCTTACATTTATAAGTGCCTGAAAAGCAATCAAAAGAAGAACAGTGTTTTCAGACAGTTGAAGATTATATAAAATTCACATTTCAGGATGCACAAATAAAGTTTTATTGGCACACAGTCACACCCGTTCATTTATAATATTGGCCATGGCTGCCTTCACACTAAGATGGCAGAAGTTGGGCTGCTGTAACAGACTCAGTGACCTCCAGTTTCACACATGGCTCTTTTCAGAGAACGTTGGTCAACTGTGGATTATAGGCTAGGTACTAGTAGTTATAAATAGCAGCTCATGCTGTCCTTCATTTGCAGATGAGGAAACTGAATTTGCAGAGTTTAAGTAACTTTTTTACAAAGGGAAAACTGAGTAAATATAGTGTTGAAATTCAAACCTGAGCCAATTTCACTCCAATGTTGCCACCCCCAAGCTCAAAGCACTTTGTACCATGTCTTTTACAATTAATATTACCTCCTCATCACTAGTCCATGTTGCTATTACATTGTATTGATGTGTTATCATGTACGAAACCATTCCTTCACTGTTAGAAACTATCCCTGGGTTCTTGTGCATACAAACAAAACCCGAAATAACATTTGTACAGGGCTTGCTGAAAAAACATCAACCACAGGTAAAAAACGGGAACAGGCTTTAAAGAGGGCAAAAAGGCTCTAGATTTTCCTGTGTTTCTCTGCAGGTACTTCTGAGTAGAGTGATTACACAGAATTTCATGAGATGTCATAGTCAGGACAGTCCCATGGGATGGAAAAAGGACAACAGAAAACCTGGGAGAGCTGCCCAGAGCTCCTTCTGTGGCCAAAACAAGTGTAGCTCATGGCTTGCTGTGACACTCAACCACCACATGGCCCTCTGCCTGCCTACAGGAAGCAGAAGGCGGAAGTGAACTCTCCGTCCCAAATCTTGCCTGGTCTCCTCACCGTTTCCCCACACTGGCGCACGGTGGCACTTGGTTAAGAAATGAAATGTGCCAGCAGGCTCAAGCCATTTCTCTCTCCCTCTTCTTTTTGCTTTTTTGAGACTGGGTCTCGCTGTGTAGCTCAGGCTGGCCTTGAACTCATTATGTAGCCCAGGCTGGCCTCAAACTTCCAGCCATCTTTCTGCCTCAGCCTCTGAGTGCTGGGATTACAGGTATGCACATCAAGCCAAGCAAGGCCATTCCTCTCAAGTGCTTCCTAAATCCCTGTTGCAATCACTGGTACAGTTTTCTAGCTGAAAGCTGAAGGAAGAGGAGAAATAAATAGAGAAATTGTGAGAAACTTAAAAAAACACAAAAGCATACATCAGATGATGGATAACTAAGAATTCTCCTTTCAACAAGTTTGAAGAAAGACTAATGCTCTCCTTACTATAATACAAGTCACACTGACTACACAGACATATCAGAATAAGGATGCCAGGACAATATACGGGTACCAGGCCCAAGGATCCCCAATTTCACACGTGGCTCTTTTCAGAGAAAGTTGCTCAATCATCTCAATCATGCCCTGGTCACCTGCAAGGTTGTCTGGAGCTATAGACAGAGGGGGCTATCCCATCAGGCTTGCCTGGGACAGTCTGCATGAACACATGTTTCCTGGCACAGGTACTTAGTAACAGAGCCCCCTTTCAATCTCCGCAGTGGCTTAGGTGATAAACAATACGATAGTAATACTATTTCAAAGATTGAGCTGTCCTTAAAATAATTCTTTTTTGCAGTACCAGGGATTAAACTCAAGGCCTTTGTACTGAGAGTGCTGGGATTACAGGAGTACACAACCATGCCCCAGCTGAGGATGAAGAAGGTCTTATCTCTTCCATTCAGTTAAGTTCAGGGAAGTCACATAATGTATGTTCAAAATGGCCCAAAATGCAAAACAGATCTAAATGTGTAACAATAGGAAACTGGTGAACAGCTAGTCAGACAATGCAGCTCCACAGAGCAGTTAAAGCCATCGGGGTTTTCAAAAGTCTGCAGAGTTCTTCTTGTTAGCACGGCAATTTGGGGACAGAGATCAGGGACCATCATAGGTCCTGAAATGTAAGAGGCAGGGGACAGATTGTGCTGGTTTCTCCATTACAAAGACTTTATTATGAATAAAAATAAGAAACCAAATTTGAAAACACAACCTTGGAAAAAGAGGTTGGTGTGAATCAGATATGCGCCAACAAAAAATGCACACACCTCAATATCTGTATCCGCTATTTGTAACAGAGGAACTGGGGGTTAGAAATCACTCAGCGATGGGAGCAGGGCCTGATGAAGGAATGATTTACTGGAGGAGATACAGTGTATTGAATAGCTCAGGGCCAAACACAAAATGCAAAACCTACTGAAAATTAAAGAACTCAATAAAAAATCATTACAGTGTGGGAATTTACTAAGCCTCTTGCCATATGGAAGAGAAGGCAGCAGAAAATGAGGTTCTTTATGACAGGACAAAGATGGAGTTGCTAAGCAATCCCATGGAAAGATCCAGATGAGAGGAAGCGCTAAGGCACACGACACTGATGGGGCACAATTTAAACACTGGCATTCAGCAGCTAAAAGTAATGCAAAAAACTTTACTCTAGTTTAAATATACAAGAAGCTGGATAAATAACAAGTAGGGGGCATGGTTTCACAGCAACAGCCCTCTTGCAGTCACAAAGTCACACACACACACACCCCGAGGTCCATGTGTTGGAAACTTGATCCCAGGAGCTCACTTGGCATTTCTGCACATGGCTAGCTCTGTTTCCAGTTCTCCTCCACAGCCAAAGGGAACACTTGCCAGGGTGCCAGTGCTATGCTATCTGGGTCCTGCAGCCACCAGCGTGGTGAGCCATATCAGCTCCTTCATTTTAGAAGTCACCAGTCTTGGGGATTTTGTGACAGCAACACAAAACTGACTACAAAGCCAACCCGCACTCTAATGCAAGAGTTGGCCAACTATGACTCATCAGTCAAATCCAGCCAGCTGCTTCTTCTGGCACTGCCTGTGAGCTAATAGTGGTTCGAACATGTTTAAATGGTTAAAAGAAATTGAAAGAAGGGACTGGAAGCCATATCTGAAGAGATTGAGGTTAAAATTCAGGAAGACCTTGGTTCACGAATTCAAATTTATGCTGTTTTCAGAAATTTGTGTTGTTTTAGAAATGAGCCCCAGAGCTTAGAGTTGATCACTGTAATGGGTCAAGTGGCAGCCCCCAAGTTCTCTCCTACCCATGGCTTACAATGTGGCTTTATTTTGGAAATAGGCTCTTTGCAGAAACAACCAAGGGAAAGATCAAGATGAAACCATTCTAAACCGGGAGTGCTGGTGCATGCCTATAAACCCAGCATTCAGGAGGCTGAGGCAGGAATACTGCCTTGAGTTAAAGGCTACATAATGAGTTCAAGGCCAGCCTGGGCTATACCGTAAGATCCTGTCTCAAAAAAACAAAGTATGAAAGATTAGGGTAAAACTAAACTGCAATGACAGTATTCTTGTAAGAGACAGAAGAGGACACACAATGATATGGGAAGGCAGAGACTGCAGTGAGGCTGCCACAAGTAAAGGAACCAAGGAGCCACCAGCAGCCGAAGAGTTGAGGAAACAGCTGTTCCTACAGCTTCCAGATGGTATAGCCCTGCCCACACCTGGATTTCAGACTTCTGGCCTCTGGACCTGTGTGAGATTAAATTCCTGCTCTCTTAAACTCCCTACTTTATGGGAATTTGTTTTCCCAACCCTAGCAAACTAATTAAATCTGCCTCCAAGGTTTCCTCAAACTTCAACTTCTCTGATGTACCTTGAAGGTTAAGAACAATTATATTTTCTTCAATCTGTATAGACTTACAGAGCCTCCTGTAGTGCTAATGTTGCTAAAAAAAAAAAATAATTCAGCAACATGAAATCTGTTCTCCTTAAAAGGCTAAAAACAGACAATAGCATTTCTTATTAAATTTGTATCTGGGGAGAGTTGTAGATCCACATGCAGGTGCAAGGAACAATGCAGTTCCTAACAACATAAGTAACAATGTTAGCCGGTGTCATAGAAATATCCTGCAAAATTCTAGCAATTTTACAGTCAGGACCCTGACATTGCTACAATGAATGAACTGAACAGGATGCTCCCCAGTTTGACTATGTACTCACAGAGGGGTGTGTATACTTAGCTCCATCCACCATCACACACACAATTCCATCATGAGAAAGCCAATAATGATAATTTGACACCTGCAAAATATGGTTTACCTGTTTGGAGATCTGTAAATACTAATGTGGTAGGCTCAAAGACAAATCTGAAAAAGACAAGGTGAGGACGCGTGCTCATGTGAGCATTAAGAGAAAGCCAACAACTGCCAGATATTCTACTGGAAGTGGCATGTGCAGAAATGATGGCGGCTCAGAGCAGGACACGCCCGCCTCTCCCACCTTGTCCTTTTTATCTTGGCGGGCATACGGGAAGCACGGGATCACCGCAGTCACCCTGGAGGACGAGGCGATCTTGCACGCATTGATCATGATGAGCAGTTCCATCAGGTTGTCATTGATTTCTCCACAGCCACTCTGGATGATGTAGACATCTTCCCCTCTGACACTTTCACCGATCTCCACACTGGGAAAAGAAAAATGCCATCGATTGACGTCAAAGTATGTCTGCATCTTGGAGGGGTCTCAAGATCACCCCCAGGTTTGATGATTCATCAGGTCAAATCACAAAACTTGGCATAAAGTTGCACTTTATGCATGGCTAAGGTTTATGATGGGGAAGGGACACAGGGAAAATCAGAGAAGGGAGGGTGCATAAGGTGAAGCTGGGGGAAAGCAGGTGTGAGATTCAGAGGTCGAGCTTAACGCCTCCAGTAGCAAGCTGTGATAAGACTTGCAAAATGTTGCTACCAGGGAAACTGCTTAAAGAATCAGGGCCATCACCTAGATGCCTAGTGCATGCCAAAAGGCCAGGCTCTCCGGCCTTCCCGTAATCACATCGTTCCCCAATTGTTACCAACTTAGGCACCCGGGAACCATTCTTATCAAAGGATGGTGGGAACCTTGGGGAATCGAAGCTCCCAGACACCAGCCAAAGGCCAACTTTGGAAGCAAGCCTTTCTGAGTTTCAAGCCCGCTATGTTAACTCTTTTCTGCAAAATACTTTGTTTTAGTGCTTTACTGATATTAAAGTTTTACATGAATGTTGCTTTAAAAATTCAAATCATTCTGTGAGGCTTATAATAGATAATCAATTGCAACCCTTGATATGGTTTTTAGATGTTTACCTTCAAGTGTCTAGCTAATATGTGCCTTCCTACATCTTGACTTTTCATCTGATGGCTTGACTCCTCACTGTGGAAGAAGGGGATTTGGTTCTACTTCCTCTCTGTTCCATCTCACAGGTACACCCTCCCCATCTTGCCATTATCCACAGATCAATACTCAAACTGAAAATTGACTGCTACACTGTGTGTGTGTGTGACTCAGGATTGAACCCAGGACCTTTACACTAGCTACATCCCCAGTTTTTTTCATTTTTTCATTTTTTTTCTTTGGGACAAGGTCTCCCTCAGTCACTCCCGAAACTCAAACCTAAATTCTACCCTTCTGCCTCAGCCTCCGAGAGAGTGCTGGGATTACAGGTGTGCGCCATCACGCCCAGCTTTGACTGCTACTCTGTAACTGTGTAAATGAGGCTCAGAGCTGAGCCACATAGGAAACTTAAATCAAGGTTCATATTTTTCTTTCCTGCAGATTTTTGTTTCCCCTCTAGGTAATCACCTTTTTCTCTGGTAAATTTTCTGCCTACAAAATTCCGATTTCACCCTGAATACCTCACTGACAATTTCAATCTCTGAGTATCAGAGGCTTCAAGTGCCAGCGCCATTTCTTTGTCCTGCAGATGTCCCTTCCAGGGCTGGCTGACCTGGTGCCAGCTTCCTGCCTGTGCCCAGCTGTTGGCCGGGGATTCCCTTTGCCTCGGTCCCATCTCCTGCACCCCTTTTTCTCCTGCACTTCCTTGTTGGGTGCTTAGCATCCTCCTGCGGCTTACTGAGAAAGAATAAGTAAGAGGTAAATTTTTTAAAATTGCATATCTGAAAATTTCTGGAATTCCAGGTAACAAATTCAGTGGTATTCAGAGAAAGAGGAAGAGAGGGAGAGAGGAAGGAAGAGAGGGAGAGAGGGAGAGAGAGCCCATTCATTCCTGGTGTGTACCCTTCTCGGAAAGAAAACTAAAACTGAATTGTGTCTTCGGGGAAAGTCCTGCCCAGAGCACCGGGTAAGAATCAGGACTGTGAGCTGGGGATGTAGCTCAGTGGTTCTGCTGCCTGCCTAGAAAGCAGAAGGTCCCGAGTTTGATCCCCTGTACCGGGGGAAAAAAAAAAAAAGAATCAGGACTGTGGTGAGTTCTGCTGAGATGTTTCTTCTGTAAAGGCAGGTTTGTTCCAGTGGCTGATAGATTTGGAACAATTTGAGCATAATGTTTGCTTTTGCTTATGCACAAACGCATCTTGGGACAGAATGCAGAAAACTGAGCTGTGTCCAGCTAAATGGAGCCACTTAGAAAAACACAAGCATACATCACACGAGGACAGTGAGATGCACTCAGCCACATCTGGGGTCCCAGCTCGCCTCATCATTTCAGATAACCTCCCTTCTGCTATCTCATAATAACTCAGAAGCTGTAGCCCTTCGGAGTCGCACTTCCATCAGCAAAGTTTTCATCAGAAAAAGCCATGTTGATGGCAGTATTTCTGTACTTTGCAGAATATATAAAACATGTAAAAGTGTTTTATTGTTTATACTACATCTCCATGTGTTTTTTTAGATGTCATTGAGGAAGTTCTTAAGTGTCATGCTCCAATTCCATTTTTCTCATAAGCCTTGTGACTTTTAATTGTACAATCTGCACAGCACAGTAATTTTTAGGAATCTGTGTATAGCATTATAGCAAAACTGGTTGTAAGCAAATTCATCCATAAGTGAACTACAATGCATCTGTAAGTGAGGGTCACGGTTACCCTATTTCTGCTATCAGAAGGCAACTATACCCAATGAAATTATTTTATTAAAGGAGCAAATTATAACTATTGAAAACTCAAAACAAATCAACATTTGAGATACCATGTAGTAGACTATCTAAACCAACAAAAGCTTATATCCAACTTCAAGGATAATAATGAGAAGATAAACATGAATTTTAAGTTTACATGTTGTGAAAATGATATTTGGTTTTTCTCTTCCTCCCTTTCTCTCTCCCTCTCCCTCTCTCTCTTTCTCTCTCTCTCTTTCTGAGACAGAGTTTAATTAAGTTGCTAAGTTGCCAAGGCTGGCCTTCCTGCCTCAGCCTCCCAAATAAGTGGGATAACATGTACCACCACAACCATCTTTTGATCATGTTCCTGCATGGTCTCAGAAATGAATATTAATGGTACACCATCAACTTCAGGCTGAAAGTGTCAGAAAGAATTCCATGTGTACCTCCCCCTATTTTGAGTTCTAAGGAATGAACATAATTTCTTGGTGAACTTTACAACTGTAGAGTGAACTTAATTTGGAAATCAAGTATTATATAGCTCAAGGGTTGACAAAATACAGCATACATCTCTTTTTGTATGGTTCATAAGCTAAGATGGTACAGTGAGCAGAGTAACACCCCCCCAAAGACATCTATACCCAAGTCCTTTGAATATGTTAGATTACATAGCGAAGGGGATATATATTTGCAGATGGAGTTGAGGATGCTAATCAGCTGCCCTTAAAATAAGGAAATTATATTGGGTTACTTAAATTGGCCAATGCAATCAGAAAGCTCCTTAAAAATGGAAGAAAAAAACAAAAGGGATAAGAGAAAGAGGTGCAAAGACTGAAGCAGGGTCAGGGAGATGCTTAGTTGCTGGCTTGGAAGTTGGAGGAGGGGCCAAGGGCCAAGAAATTCGGGCTGCCTCTAAAAGTTGGAAAGTCAAGGGGATGGATTCTCCCCTAGAGCTTCCAAGAGAATGAGCCTCCTGATCCAGGAGGACTTCTAACTTACACAGCTGTAAGCTACAGGAACAACAGAGGCTGCCAGTGGCCAGCACTGTCTGAAATATTCATGATCTGGCATTCTATGGACAGTTTCCCAACTCCAAGTCTTGATTATTTATCCCACAAGATCTGATTCTGTATTTCACTTAAGAACCAGTGTTTATATGACTAGCAGTCCAGGGTAGGACAGAGAACACCGTGGCATATGTGTTGCAAACACAGTTGTGCTTCTACTCAGAAAGATGACCCACCTAATCTGCAGTCCAGGGCTTTAACAGATGGTGGACAGAAGGCAGTATCATTTGTTATTTAGCCACGGGGTCTTTTTGGACCCCCAAATGCATATGACCAACTCAACAGTGAATGGGAGTGGTAATTAAAAGATGGTCACCGATTCTTAAGTATTTTCTTCATGAAGAAGCGGAGTCTCTGTTACCTGCCCTTGAATCTGGGAGGGCTCTGTGCTTAACCAACAGTACGTGACAGGAGTGGTGATGTGCCAACTTCTAAGTCCAAGCCTTTGTAGGCTGGCAGCTGCCCCTTCCTGCCTTTTAAAGCACTCCCTCTTGAAAGGCAGCTTCCATGCCAGAGGGGAGTCCAAGCAGCACTCTGATGAGATCTGCAGTGAAAGGAACTCAGGTTTCTACCCGAGCTTCCAGGCAAAAACTAGTGCCCACCTACCAGCTGTGCAAAAGTGCCATCTTCAAAATGGATCCTCCGGCCTCAGCAGCCACCCCAGCTGCCACACATGAGACAAGCCTTCCTTGCTGAGCCCTCCCCAAACTGGGGATGTGTGAGCCAAATAAACAATTATCACTTTAAACTGGTAAATTCTGGGGTGATTTCGTACATGGCAGTAGGTCATCAGAACCTTGGGTCCCACAGCACAGGTTGGGACCCCACAAGCTGGTGAACTGACCAGGGTACAGTGTTATAAGAGAGACCTCTAGATACCACCATGCATCTTAGGAAGTCATCTAGCGATTTCTGTGAAGCTGCAGCAGACTTCTTCCTGCACATCTGGAGTGATTTAGAGATGAGAAGGTAAAAATCAGGAGGCTCTAAGTCTGATTAAATAATACTCACAAACACAATGGGAGCACTGATGACCAGGAGCAAACCAGATTTCTGGTCCTGGCTCAGTGAGGGATTCAGGAAGGGGCCTTTTCCATGAACTGAATCAATTTTCCTTTCCTTTTGGCCCTTCCGTTTCCCATGCCTAGGACCACAGGGTAAAAACCAGATTGCTAGCACAGTACCTGGTACAGAGAGGACTTTATAAAAGTCATCCTCTGCACCTGTACAGTTCATGGGAAAAAGTCACCACGTTAACCTTTATAGTCTACATGTTAAAGCACAAAATGGAGTTATATTAGCAACTGTCAGACTTCATGCTGAGGGCTTTTGGAGACCATACGATTTCTATTATCAAGTGGTAGATAAAAGATACTCAAAACCAAATAAAAATACATCTCTTTACATTTAAATGTATAAACAATCATAGTTGGGCTATCTGAGTGAGTTTTGCCCCACAGTCTACAGAGTATTTTTTGTAGACATCCAACATTGACTTAGCAATTAACTGATCTAGATTAACCATGACTTTAGCAAAGGATTGTGCAGCACTGAGATGAACCGGAAGGGCAAAAATTGTTTCCGAAACTCACTTCATCCAGAAATGTCTCCTTTACTTATGTGGCAACACCTTCTGAGCAAAAACTATTGTTCTTAGAGCTACTGAAACTCAAGAAGGATTAGCAAAGTACTGCAACCCTTAAACCTAACTATGTTTTTCTCCAGAGAGAAAGACTAAGCTGCAAAGTGGAATTATTCAGCCAAGTGCTGCAGGCAATAATACCACCTGCTGCTCACTCACAACTTTTCCTCTTACTTGACCATAAGAGTCACTGTGCAACCAGAAGAAGTCATGTGAACTGAATGAATTTTCCCTAAAAGCTGAGTGCTCAAGAAAAAGCATCTTTGCCATCAGTGACTAGCAGTCCAGGGTAGGACAGAGGACATCGTGGCATACCTGTTGCAAACACAGTTGTCCTTCTACTCAGAAAGATGACCCACCTAATCTGCAGTCCAGGGCTTTAACAGATTATTAATGCAACTCACTAAGAAATGTCTGTTTCACCCAAAGCCATCAAGATTTCCCCTCTGCCTCCTTCTAAAAATACTAGTTTTAAATTTTACATTTCCATCTCTGATCTATGTCAAGTTATTTTTTGTAAATACTGAGAAGTATGGATAAAGGCTCTTTTTGTGTGTGCGTATGGCTGTCCAACTGTTCAGCACCATTTCTTAAAATTGTTGGTTGGACTGGAACTTTGCCAGTGATAAAAAAGTTATCTGTAACTGCATACAGTTAGCTGCACTAGATATTTGAGGGCAATGAGAGAAAATAGACTGCCTTGAAATTAGTTAAAGAGCTTCATGGACTCAAGCCATAGAGAAAGGACCCCTCTTCCCGGCCGCCCAGCCTCCTGACTGCACTGAGCACAAGCGGTCACTTTTTGTGGACCTGAGAACTGGGCAGAATTCCCACCAAACTAGGGCCTTGTTGCTGCACACAGCAGAGCCGCAGGACCACAAAGAAGCTGAATGTCTATCAGCTTGGAGGCAGCAAATGAGAGGGAGCCTTGGAGAGCCCAGCACGTGCACCCTGGAGTTCTCACACTCTTTCAAACCTCAGCACAACCTCACCCTTTGGATAAGCGGTGCAGAACAACCGGGCTGACCCCGACCCCTCGTTGGATCAGAACCTCCGAGGACAGCCCTCTGAAAAGCAGCGTTTGAATAGTCCCCAGGTAAATCTAGTGCCCAGCCAGGGTATTGGACGTGAGAGGAATCTTTCGGGCCGCTCAAGGGTCTGGTTTCACCCTTGCAGGGACGCGGAAACTAGGACAAGCAGAGCCTGGGAAGCCCCTTCACCGCGCGTGGCACGGATGTATTCCCGCCCGCGGTGTCCACTCGATCTCCGACGGTCTGTGACCGCCCCGATGTCGATGTCGCCCTTCCGGACAGGGGACGTCAGGCCGGGAGCCGCGACAGAGAGCGGAGGGGGGCAAACCTTGGGGTCGATGGGTCGCCGCGGTTTTGCAGAGGGGCAACTCGGGGCGCGCTCGGGGCCGTCCGGGCGGGGCGGCGAATGGGTGCCCTTCCTCAGCTTCTCCCCGGGCGCAGCCGCTCTGGCTCCGCGGCCGCGTTGCCGCCGTCCCGCCCCGGAAGGGAGATTGCGGCGCCCGCGGAGGTGGCCAGGGCACGCGTCGGTCCCCAGCCCAGCCCCGCAGCCCAGCGTCTGCCCCGGCGCGGCCCCCACCTGGTCTCCTGGTTGCTAAACTTCTTGGTGACCACCTTGCCCAACTCCAGGCCCAGGCGGTCGGCCACGCGCTGGGACAGGTCCTGGTGCGAGCTACCGCTGAAGAGCACGATGTTGGGCATGGTGGCTCTTGAGTTTCCAGAGGTCCGCTGCGAAGGCGAGGACAACAGCGACAGCGACGCAGACGGCTACTGCTGTGGGAGCGGGAAAGCGCGGTGGCGGGACCCAGGGGCGGGGCGGGGCGAAGGGGAGGAGCTTGGGGCGCAGCCAGAGGAGCAGGGAGGAGAGAGGAGGGGCAGGAGTGGAGGGGAAGCTGGAGGTTGCTGGGAAGCTGGCTGCCAGCACCACCAGGGTTGCAAGTTGGAAAGATCTACGGGGTCCTTGCCCCGTTGGGGGCCTGAGTCCCACACTTGACATCTGTCACGTGCCTCGAGTGGAAAGACCAGGGGCCAGATGATTGGGGCACAGAGAGAGAAGGTGGGAAGGGACCGAGGAGGTGTGTGCACCGCAGGGAAGAGCCATCCTCTAACCCAGAAACCCAGAGTAAAGGACGGGTTTTCCACTGCAGCAAGATCTGCAAACTGTAGCCCACAGGCCAGATCCATAGAGTCGCCCGAGTTTGTAGCAGAGAGCTCGGCACGTTTGTACTTTAGGTGATGCACAGACCACCTTGGAATCCCAGCTAGGAGAATGTTCCCCTCGCCCCCAAATTCCTCTTCTCGCATTAGTAGCTCTGTATCACCAAAAAGGGACGCAAATATTATTACAGTTTGGATGTTGGCAAGAAAAACTGAAAAATTGTTCTTTTTTTTCTTATTATCTAAGTACCTATAGTGTATCTTCCCTTTTGCCTCTTGGTTTGCAAAGCCTAAAGCTCTCTAATATTTGGCAAGAATTGGTTTGCCACCCACAGCGAAGGCTGAACTGTAGCTTACTCTACCCGACTTCTTACCATTGGGATCTGAGAGATTAGTGGGTTTATTTATATCACTAGGATTTTTCTTCTGAGTCTTTGTACTTTGTAAATTGGATTACCTGTGCGTCAAGTGTTTCTTTTAAATTTCTGTAGCTGTCTACTTACCATAAAAGGTTTCTAAGGGATGAGGACGTAGCTCAGTGGTACAGAGCTTGACTAGCAAGTGTAAGGGCCCTGGTCAATCCCCAGTAACCCCCCTCCCAAGAAAGAAAAACTTGGTCTGCGGTGTAGCTCAGTGTTAGAGCACTTGTCTAGTATGTACAAGGCCCTGGGGTCCAAACTCCAGCACTGCCAAAAGCAAAAGTTGTCAAAGCACCATTTCCAGTAGCATTTTTGCATTTTTCCATTCTTTCTAGGAAGGCATACATGCCCTATGATATTAAAAAAAAAAAACTACCTGCAATAGTTTGTTATCTACTGTGCCACATAATAATGTTTCAGTCACTGCTAAAGGACATATCCAAAGGGGGTCCCGTAAGATTATATTGCTTAGTACACTCTACGATGTTCACACAAGGATGAAATCACCTAATGATACATTTCTCAGAACATATCCAGATGTTAGTGACACATGACTGTATTTCATAAAAAATTAAATTAAATTTGCATACTAAATTACCATAGCAATGAAATTTATACTCATACTCAACCATATGTCTAAAATTTTTATTGAGTGAATCTGGTAATGTAATTATATTTACACTCTCCTGATAAAAGTTACTGCCAGCAATATTACTGCAATTTTTATGTCCTTAAAATTTCTTTCACAGATAAAATTGGTTAATAATGCGATTCCTCTAAATATAGAGAGAACAACGTGGCTTCCTGTTAGAATAGGGAGGCCATGGTTTTTTGATAACAAGGCTGCATTATAAAACATTGTAAGTTCAAGGTCCTGGTTTCTGGACCAGTTAATGAATGGGAATTTAGAATCTAGGATTGAGTCGACACACTGTGACCTTGATAGCACTAGGAAGAAGCACTATTTGGGTTGGGGTAAGAAAATGACTCTTTGTTTGACAGTTTGATGAGTTACTGTGCTAAAGTGCTGAGAGTAAACAAGGGGAAATGTGCCATTTCAATACTAATGGAAATCATGAAATATTATCATGAGTAACAGACTGTACAGCAAACCATCACTGGGAAATGTGAAGGCTTAAAACAGCAGCTATGGAAGATTCTATTTGAATACTTTCTCTTCCAAGCCCCCTTTCCTTTGATCCATGGGAGTCAGGTCTTGGGGAAACCTCGATGGACAGCCAATTTCTCAACCTCAGCATAGGTGACATTTGTGCAGGGTGATTATTTTGTTGTGAGACTGTCCTGTGAATTGTAGGATGTTTAGCAGCATCCTTAGCCCCTCTCTAGCAACTGGAGGCCAGTAGCCCCTTTACGAGTTGCAACAATCAAAAGTGTCTCCAGATATTGTCAGTTAAGCCCCAGAGAATGAAATCACCCTGGATTGAGAATTACTTGCCTGAATGAACCCTGGCTCTTTCCTTCTCCACATGGACCATCTCTAGTGGTGCTCAGGGTTCCTGCCAGTAAAACTGCAGGGTGCTAAAAAGGAGTCTTCCAAAAAGATGAGTCAATCTTGCTTGCTAACATTCCACTGGTCAATCCAACTTGCATGGCCAAGATCAGAGTCAATGTGGGATGGAATCACAGAGAAGCAAGAGCGCTAGGTTTACCAAAGGTCTGCCACAGTGCACTTACTTCATGAGTTAACTAACAAATTAGAGGAGGCTTCAGGAAAGGGAAACACATGCTTAAAGACTCAGAGAGGAAAAGATATATAGTCTGAGTATGTGTGTTCTCAGATCTTGGACATACTATAAAATATTCGTTATTTTAAGATAAAATGTTGGTGGGAAAAATAAAAATGATGATATAATTTCCATCACTGACTGTTTTTCCTTAAATTCTTTTTTTGGTACATTTTAGGTATACAATACATTTACATTTATCATTGGGTGCTTGTACCTGTACATGATGTATCTTGGTTCTTATTTTTGCCCCATTGCCTGTGTGCCCTTCACCTCCCTATTTACAAAGACTTTGTTTCCATTTTTTCCTCTTCTCATAATTTTTCCTTTCCCTTGTTTCTTTTCCCCTTCCCCTCCAACCACCCCTACCCCTTTGGACCTTTTCTTCCTATTTCAAATGATCAATTATTCATTTTAAACATTTAATCCTTATTTACACTTTCAGTTTCTCACACTAGAGAAACTATTTGGTATTTACACCTGTGTGTCCTCTTTATTTCACTTAAGAGTATGGCCTCAATATGCATCCATTTAGCTGTAATTGTCTCTAGTTTCTCATCCTTTATGGCTGAGTAGTACTCCATTTTATAAAAAAACCACACCTTCTTTGTTCAGTTTCCAGTTGTTGGGCACTTGGGCTGTTTCCAAGCTTTAGCTATTACAAACTGTGCCGCTATAAACATGGGTGCACATGTATCACTATTGTATGATTCTTTTAATTCTTTGGGGAAGATCCCCAGCAGGAGAATAGCGGGGTCAAATGGGACCTCTAGTCCTAGTTCTCTGTGGTGTTTCCATACTGATTTCCACAGTGGTTGCACCAGTCTGCACTCCCACCAGCAATGGAGAAGGGTTCCTTTCTCTCCACACCCCCGCCAGCATTTGTTATTGGTTGATTTCTTGATAGCAGCCACTCTTTCTAGGGTGAGGTGGAATCGCAGTGTTGTTTTCATCCGCATCTCTTGAATGACCAGTCCATCACTGACTTCTACATTCATTAATTTGTGGGTAGGTATGAAATGGGGAAACCATAATTTGAATTTGTAGATAGATTTACATTTTGTATTTCCCATTTATTTTAGCCAAATTCTTCGCAACAAGTAAAGTCTCCAAATATTTGCTGCGTGAATTTATCCCTAGCTATCTTAAGGCTGAGAAATGGGAGAAATGGCCCAAAGTTACATGGCTATTGAAAGACAGCACAGGAATTAGAATGCAAGTCTGCTAGCCTAGTTCTTTTCTCTCTAGAAGAGTAGTGTCCAAAAGGCATAGAATGCAAGCCATGTATGTAATGTACATTACTTTAAAAAGGGTATAAAAGAAACAAATGCAGGTAATTTTAATAATACAAATTATTTAATCCAAAATATTATCACTCCAACATGCAATTGTCATAAAAAATGAATGAAATATTTTGCATTTTTGATACCAAGTCTCCAAAATCTGATGTAGATTTTACATCTAGAGTACATCACAATTTGGACTCACCATATTTGAGGCAATCAACAGCTACATATGGCTAGTAATTGATCTATTACAGCAAAAAGCTTTGAAATACTGGTTTCTAAGAGCCATGCCAAGACATTCAACACATCCATTCTCTTGTGTATTTTTGCCTGGGCCGTGGTGAACGATTTATAAAAAAGTAAAGCTTTTAAACTATTTACTTCAAAAATAAAGTGACATTTTTTTATAATTTAATTTTTTAATGATTTTATCTTTACTTTTTACTTTCTATTGCTTAAAGAGAAATTAAAAACACAGAGAGGAGAGTTCAGTGAATACTTGTACACTTATCATCTATACTTTGCACTGAAAAAATTTAGCCATATTTGCTTCAGCTGTTTTTCTGATGAATTTTTATTTTAAAGTAAATTGCAGATATCATATATTCAGCTCTAAATTTAGTCTGTCAAAAGATAAAAATATCACACCATATAGAAAAATTGATTTAAAATTAATAAAAGGTATAAATGTTTACTTAGCAAGCATAAATCCCTAGGTTCAATCCCTAGTACTGGGAGGAAAAAAAGGTCTAAATGTAAGAGCTACAATTAGAAAACTCTCAGAAGAAAACATAGGTACAAATCTTCATGGCCTTGGATTAGGCAATGATTTCTTTAATATGGCATCCAAAACACAAGAGGCAGCAACAACAAAAACACATACATTAAACATCAAAATATGAAAATGTGATTCAAAGGATATCATCAAGAAAGTGAAAGATAATCCAAAAGAATTGTAGGAGAGGTTTGTAAATCAAGTATCTCATGAGAAACTTGTATTTAGAGTATATAAAAAATGATCACAACTCAATGGTAAAAAGACAAATAATTCAATTTAAAAATGGGCAAAGGAGCCTCCACATGGATGTTTATAGCAGCTTTATTTACAATTGTCAAAACTTGGAAGGTGCCAAAATGTCTTTCAGTACGTGACTAGATAAGTAACCTGTGGCTCATGTAGACAATAGAATACTGTTCAGCA